GAGCCAAACCAGTTTAGGCCATATATTTTATTGATTTTTTACAGAGAGGAAGGGAGAGAGAGAGCTAGAAACATCAATGAGAAAGAGTCATCGACCAGCTGCCTCTTGCACACCCCCTACTGGGGATATGCCTGCAACCCAGGTACATGCCTTTGACCAGAATCGAACCCGGGACCTCTCAGTCGGCAGGCCGGCGCTCTATCCATTGAGCCAAACCGGTTTTGGCTCCCACTCCTTTTGTGACGAGCTGTCATTTAAAGAGTTACTTTAGGGCCACTGTGCTCAGCGGGGACATGTGTTGGGAGCCTTCCTCTGATGCCTGCCATTGCCTCCTCCCCTGCCTGGCCCCCAAGGTCCTGGAGCAGACGCTGAGCCCCCTGTGGGACGAGCTGCTGGTGTTTGACCAGCTGATCGTGGACGGGAGGAGGGAGCACCTGCACCAGGAGCCTCCGCTGGTGATCATCAATGTCTTCGACCACAATAACTTTGTGAGTGCGGCGTGAGTCCCCTGGCTTCCTGCCCCAGCACCCCCGCTTGTCTTGATGCCCCCTCCCCTGCTCCAGGGCCTCTTCCAGTTTTGTCTCCACTGGCCTGCTCCCCGCGGGGCCCCCCTGCGTTCCTGGGCCGGGCGCTGGCTGCCCCGAGGGTGAAGCTGATGGAGGACCCTTACCAGCGCCCTGAGCTGCAGTTCTTCCCCCTGAGGAAGGGGCCCGGGCGGCCGGAGAGCTCATCGCCACCTTTGAACTCATCGAGCTGGACGACAGTGGCCGGCTTGAGGTCAGCGTGCCGTGGCCTCGCTGCCGTGAGCTGTGGATTCCTCTTGTTGTTCTATCAGCTTGTCCAGCCCCAGCGGATATATAAGATGGGCATATCCGGGGCCACCCCAGATCTCTCGTCCCAAAGAGAATGCAGGCTGCCAATCTGTCCTGGGGTTACCTCATCAGACCTCCGGACGCCAGGGAACGCTCGAAGCAGACATATCCAGGGGCCGTGGTCGGCAAACCGTGGCTCGCGAGCCACGTGCGGCTCTTTGGCCCTGGAGTGTGGCTCTCCCACAAAATGCCACGGCCTGGGCGAGTCTGTTTTGAAGAAGTGGCGTTAGAAGAAATTTAAGTTTAAAAAATTTGGCTCGCAAAAGAAACTTCAGTCGTTGCACTGTTGATATTTGGCTCTGCTGACAAATGAGTTTGCCGACCACTGGCCTAGAGAACCAGGCTGTGGGTTGATCCTCAGACCTCAGACACACGCCCATTGTTCCTAAACACGGGGCTGCCTCCTAGCCATCGTCCTCTCCGCAGTCCAGCCTTGCCTGGACTCTGATTTATATTTCACTAGCACGTCTTCATTTTTCTTTCTTGAGTCCAGGATTTCCCTCCTTGGGCCTGATTCCTCTTTGACTTCTGACCTCTTGCCCCCTGCAGCCCTCAGTGCCCAGCGACGTGGAGCCACAGGACCTGGCACCCCTGGCTGAGCCCCTCTCCGGCCGCCTCTCCCTGCCGCCCAGTGTGCGCCCAGTGCTCAGGCAGTTCCGTGTTGAGGTAGCACAAGGCGCTCACGTCCCCGTTTCCGCCCACCCCTGGGGATCCCTCTGTCAGGCGCAGGCCCCTGAATCTCCCACTTCCCGACCCTAGGTGCTGTTCTGGGGCCTGAGGGGCCTGGGCCGTGTGCATCTGTTCGAGGTGGAGCAGCCCCAGGTGGTGCTGGAGGTGGCTGGGCGGCGTGTGGAGTCTGAGGTCCTGGCCAGTTACCATGGGAACCCCAATTTCACCGAGCTCGTCAGGCACCTGACCGTGGTGAAGGCCTGAGCTGGGGCTGAGAAGTAAGAGAGGACAGTGGGATGGTGAACTCCAGGCTGATGATCTTAGATGAATCGAAGGGTCACCAAACTTTCTATAAAGGGTCAGTCAGATAGTAAATACTTTAGGCTCTGTGACACATATAGTTTTATAGTTTGTGATTACTCAACTCTGTCGTTGTATCATTGTGTCATGCAGATATCCATAGACAAGTTAATGAATGAATATGACTGTGTTCCAATAACACTTTATTTACAAAAACTGGGCCAGATTTGGCTCACAGGCTGTCGATGGCTGATCCCTGCGTATCCATGAATGGTGCTGCTCTCTGGCTCTGCTGAATGGGCGGATTAGCCAAGGGTCATGAGTCTTAAGGACTCTAGTCTCTGAGATGCCAGGGGCTGAGAAGAAAAATGTGTTCTTTGTGTAATTTGTAATTATTGCAGTGTGGGCTTTGGAGTCCAATTCTTGCAAAGCCACTTAGGAGCTTGTCAAAACACTTTTATTATTTGAATTTCTGGTTGGGTTTACATCTGCCATTTCGCAGTTTGTTTTCTGCAAATGTCTCATATTTTTGTTCTTCCTTTTACTACCTTCTTTTGTGTTAAATAGAAAGTTATTTAGTATACTACTTTAATTTCTTTTTTGATTTTTACTTACTTGTTGCTCTGGGGATTATGATACACATACTGATTAAAAAATATATTTTATTTTGATTTTTAGAGAAAGAGGAAGAGAGAAACACTGATGTGAGAGCATAACATTGATCTCCTGACTCCTGAATGCCCCCTTCTAGGGATTAAGCCTTCAATCTGGGCATGTGCCCTGACCAAGAATAGAACCAGCAACCTTTTGGTGCATGGGACAATACCCAACCAACTGAGCCACATGGGCCAGGATGCATACTGATTTTGTACAATATAACTTATCTAAAGTAGAATATCGAAACTCTTCTCCATTATAGCTCCATTTCTTACTCCCTACTTCATGCTATAATTGTCACATACTTGTAAAATAAGCCCAGCAATAGAGTATTATGGTTATTGTTCCTCCCATTTAGGATCTATTGATAGATATGGAATTCACGGGCATACATATTTTTAGGATTCTAAGTTTATATAAATAAATTGAACATGGGTCCTTTCCATAATAATAATAACAAGCACCTCACTTTTTTTTTTTAATAGCACTTTGTAGGTTCCAAAGTATTTTTGTATCTATTATGTCACTTGATATTTACAAATCTTTCAAATCCAGGATTGTGTCTCTTTTTTTTAAGCTGGGAAACAGGCTTAGAAGACAGGGACTTACCAGATGACACCCTGAGGTTGTGGCAGAGCTGGGCTAAGAATGCAGATTTAAATCCCCGGTTTTCCACCTGTCTCTGCCGCTGCCTCTCCCTCCTCCCAGGTCTTTAGAAACACGGGTTCTCTCTCCCCACCCCTAGGACTTGCCAGAGCGGCCTTACCTGCAGCCTCCCCTCAGCATCCTGGTAATTGAACACCGGGCCTTTGGCCGGACGGTGCTTGTGGGTTCCCACATTGTTCCCCACATGATGCGATTCACAGTCCGGGGTCATGAGGACCCCCCGGAGGAGGAAGGAGACAAGGAGACAGGGGTCTTGGTGCCCAAGGAACATGAAGGTAAGAGGTTTTCTCTTAGGGACCACCAGATCGAAGCCCGTGGTTCCAGGCCGAGATGGCTCCAGGAGCCTTCTGATGGGGCATGGAGTCTGACTGCTGTTCGCCTGACCCCCCGATCTCATTTCCCCTCTCCCAGGACTGAAGTCCCTGGATCCCTTATTGGTTGAAGCCGGGATACCCAGGCGGCTCCCGAAGGTGATGGCGTACGGGAGATGTGTGGAGGAGGGGATGGCAGGACTGGGGGTGGTACTGGGTCAGGTCTGCTGAATTCTTTCTTCCTCAGGATCCTCGGAAGAAGCCCCCCTGAGTGGCCTTCTGAATCAAGGCCCAGACCTGGAGGAGGACATCCCGGATCCTGAAGAGCTGGACTGGTGGTCCAAGTACCACGCTTCTCTGCAGGAGCTCCAGGGGCAGGTGGAGGCAGGGAGGGCCCCCGGGCAGGGGATGGAGGGAGAGGAGGGTAAATGGCAAGAGGTAGAATCTTTTTGAATGTGGAGCTCAGATCTCTTTATTATAGTCATCTTTTCTCATCTCCACAACAATTCTAGAAACTGAGGGTTATTTAACTCCATTATCCAGAGCTGTTATCCAATAAAAATATCATGCTAGCCACTAACCTAATTTTAACTTTTGTAGGAGCCACCTTTAAAAAAAATAAATGAAAGCAGGTGAAATTAATTTTGATAACATTTATTTAACCTAATCCATCTAAAAATAACTTTCACAAGTAATTATTATAAAAATGAGCGGTGAGATTGATGAGGTATTTTACATCATTATTCTACACCAAGCCTTTGGAATGTAGTGTGAGTTTTACGCTTACGGCTGTCTCAGTTTGGACTACACACATTGCAAGGGTTCAACAGACACAAGCTGCTGGGGGTTCCCGTCTTGGACAGCACAGGACTGGATGATAAACTGAAGCTTTGAAATTGCAAAGGGCTTACCCAGCTGGAACTTAAAGTCTCTCGGCTTCCTATCCCAGAGAAGGGTAGATTAAGGAGGTGAGGAGTGGGGCAGAATCTCTGACCTGACCCTTGATTTCAGCCCAACTTTGATGAAGATGAAACGGATGATCCTGGGGATTCAGGTAAGATATTTAGCCCTCTGGCTCTTGCTCTGTGTCCCCTCCTCCCCCGACACCAGTTTTTCTAACTGGGGATTCTGCTGTTCTCAGATGGGGTCAACGTCACTTCCGTGGACGGGGAAGCCCAGGACCAGGGTGAGGCTGACGGCAAAGACTCCATGTCCCGGAAAAAAGCAATCACCCTGCACACAGTCACCTTCAGAGTGCTGAAGGTGACTGTGTGCAGGGCGGAGGGGGTTCTATTTGGATTCTGGACATGGGGCTGTCACTGAGGCCCATGCCTTTCAGATCTACAGCAGGTCCCTGGAGGAAGAGTTTAACCACTTTGAAGACTGGCTGAACGTGTTTCCCCTGTTCTGAGGGCCAGGGGGTCAGGACGGAGATGGAGAGGGAGAAGGGTCTGGCCACCTTGTGGGCAAGTTTAAGGTGTGCTTGGAGAAGGAGTGGAGAGGGGACCGGGAGGCATAGGCGGGGATGCGGGAGGAAGACTCTCTTACCGGGGCCTTGTCTGTCCTCCCTGCACTCCAGGGCTCCTTCCTCATTTATCCTGAATCAGAGGCAAGGCCGTTTTGGGGGCCCAAAATCTCCCGGGGAATCCCACAAAACCAGCCTGTCAAGCTCTTGGTGAGAGTATATGTCGTAAAGGTGAGCACCCATCACCCCAGCACGCCTCCAGCAATGGTAACAATACGTAAAACATATAGACGGAAGGATTGGGAGGAACCTTAGGCATCAGAGTTCACCTTCTTTATTTTCAGGTGGGAAATTTTAGGCACAAAGTTTAGAGACTCCCCAGAGTTACAAAGCTTGCTCATGGCAGCACCAGAATTTAAAGCTGGGGTCTCCTGACTCCTTGTTCATAGTGATATTTAAATAAAAAAGCTCAATGGTGGAGCAAAAGATGTGAATAGTCACATCACAAAAGAAAATCTACATAAGGCCAATAAGCACATGGGAAGATGCTCAACATGCTTTGTTATCAGGAAATGTAAATCAAAAACACAATGAGCTACAACGTCACATACACTGCAAAGGCTAAATTAAAGAAGATTGATAATACCAAGTGTTGGCAATATGTGGAGAATCTGGAATTCCCATACGTAGCAGGCAGCAGTGTAAAATCCACTAAAATATGTTGCTGTACATAAATTATACTTGAATAATTTATGCATATTATACTAAGTTATATAGCTATCAAAATAGAAAAAGTGACACTCAACCATTGAGCCACTCTGGCTGGGTAGCAGAATTTTATTAATTAAGCTGGGCACATATGCTCATTGTCCTATTCTTTTATTTAGTTAAAATTCTTAATTTTAAAAGAAAATTAAGTTGTTGAGTGTCAACCTATGAACCAGGAGGTCACAGTTTGATTCCCGGTCAGGGTACATGCTTGTGTTGTGGGATCGATCCCCAGAGTGGGGCATGCAAGAGGCAGCCGATCAATGATTCTCTCTCATCATTGATGTTTCTATATCTCCCTCTCCCTTCCCCTCTGAAATCAATATGTTCATTGTAAAAAATAAAAGTCAAACAATACGAAAAGTTATAAATTGAATAGAAGCCCTATGCATATCCCATATATTTTGTTTCATTCCTTGTATTTTTTGTTATACCTATTTATATGTCTTAGGTATTTCACAATTAATTTAAAATCGAATAAAAGTCATCTTGGACAACCTCTAGTTAACTTCTTTTGGTGGGACATCTCTCCTTGGTAACTCCCCACTCCTACTCAATCTGAGATTCGGTTCAGCAAGTCTTGGGTGTGACAATGGCACTTCTCTCAGTTTCACTCTACACTATCCCCCTAGGCCTCCAACCTGGCTCCTGCGGACCCCAATGGCAAAGCAGACCCCTATGTGGTGGTGAGCGCTGGCCGTGAGTGGCGGGACACCAAGGAGCGCTACATCCCCAAGCAACTGAACCCCATCTTTGGAGAGTGAGGCTGGGCCTTAGGTTTTGGGGAGTAACTTTGACATAAGTGGTCTGACTCATGCTCAGGCAGCTTGACTCATGCTGATGGTGGGAGAATGGACAGAAGCTTCTGAGACCCCTGCGACTCCTACCCACATCAGACAGCTGCCTGGGTGTCCTCAGCCATTCTCCCTCCTGGCCAGGGTCCTGGAGCTCAGCATCTCTCTCCCTGCTGAGCCAGAGCTGACGGTGGCTGTGTTTGATCATGACCTCGTCGGTTCTGACGACCTCATCGGGGAGACCCACATTGACCTGGAAAACTGATTCTGTAGCCACCACAGGGTGAACTGTGGGCTGGCCTCCCAGTGTGACGTGTGAGTCTGCCAGGGCCCTCAAGAGCCATTCTTAGTCTTACCAAAGACATTCAACTTCACATTTCCACTAGTGTCTGCAGATCCTTTGATTTCATGCAAGGAAACCTCTCCATGACCGAGACATTAAAGCTCAGTGGTCAAGACCTGGGCTTGGGAGTTGGGATCCTGTAACTAATGAGTCTCTTTTCTTCTCTAAGCCTCAGTTTTCTCATCTTCAAAATGGAGGTCATATTATTAGTATCTCCTTCACAGGAGCACCTGGCATACATTTTTTATTTTCATGGTTACCATAGCAATGACTAAGCTGACTTCCATCAGGATATGGACCTGGATCTCATGTCTTCAAGGGTCCCACCCCTGCCCCTGAGCCCAGCTGTGTCCATGGCTGTCCCCAAATGAGGCATACTCCCTTCCTGCCTGCAGGGATGGGTACAATGCCTGGCGTGATGCATTCCGGCCTTCGCGGATCCTGGCAGGGCTGTGTCAATGCTGTGGCCTCCCCGCCCCTGAATACCAAGCTGGGACAGTCAAGGTGGGCAGCAAAGTCTTCCTGACACCGCCTGAGACCCTGCTCCCAGGTACCAGTCCCTCTCTGCCGGATGGCCCAGAGTGAGCAAGATGGTAGAACAAGGTGTAGGGGATCCCTGGTGCCCAGTCTAGTATGTCCCCCAAAGAGCCTGCCTCCTTCTGCAAACAGGAGGTGAGTCTGGCTAAGTAAGGAGGAGGTTCCTGGATGTGGGGAGAAAATGGTCTTTATTGGTGAATGTGAGATCATCAAAGAGCCACAGTGGACCCCAGAATAGCTAATCTGTTCCCAGAACACAGGTGGTCCATCAGGGGTCCCCTACAACAGAACGTGCTTGTAGAATTGAGCTCAGGCTTCATGAATGGCTGGTGGTCTGTCTATAAGCAGTGTCTATGCAAAGACCACCGCCCCTCCTATCCCACTGCCCTCCTGACTGCTGGCTTTTCACTGACAAAAGGGGTGTTAGCAGCAGCATCCCACTTTCTGTGCATTGTGGACTTGGCCCCCAGCCCATAGACTTTGTTCACCACAGCAGCTGCTTCAGCTCAGAGATTTGATTGAAGGGCGGGGGAGGGAGGGAGGAGAGCTGGGAGCTGAGTGGAACTCAACCTCACACACCTCTTGTTGCAGGCAGACGAGGACCTAACGTGGCAAGTGAGGTCCCTGAGGAGGCCCAGGCATTGTTTGTGCTGCGGTGCTGGCAGGAAATGCTAGGTTTTGGGATCCAGCTGGTACCTGAGCATGTAGAAACACGGCCCCTGTACCATCCCCGCAGCCCGGGGCTGCTGCAGGTGAGGGAGGGCTTAGCAACCAACTCCAGAACCCCAGGAATCCCAGCTGGCCCTGGACCCTGGGCCCACAGGATGCCCATTTCCTAAGACCTCCATCTGGGCACTGCATCACCGCTTCTGATTTTGGCTCCTGAACCTGGTCCCCAGCATTCCCACTCCAGTCTTGGATCTCCTTCCTGGACCTCATACCCCTCCCCTGACTCTGGTCCTGAAGGATTCCCACCCCTGGGCCACTAAGTCTCACACTTGGCACTCCCAACCTGACCAGGTCATTAGGATCTGGACCTCGAAAATACCAGATCTAACTTTTTCTCTCAACCTTCCACTTCTGGGGCCTCAACCCCTACCCTAACCTCAACCTTGGAACCTCCATTTCAGACTCCTCACTACCCAGGATCTGACCAACCATGCCCTCTTTTTTTTTTTTTTTTTAAATATTAATACATATGTTAAAATATATTGATTGATTTTAGAGGAGAGGGAGAGATGGAGAGAAACATCAATAATGAGAGATAATTACTAATCGGCTGCCTCCTGCATGCCCCTTATTGGGGATTGAGTCTGAAACCCAGGCATAGGCATGGGCCCTGACCGAGAATGCAGCTGTGACCTCCTGGCTCATAGGTCCATGCTCACCCACGGAGCCACACTGGCTGGGCTCAGCCATTCCCTCTTGACCCCAGCTCTTCTCTCCACCTGGGGCGAGGCACAGCCTGTGGCCACAGGGTTGTTGGGGGAGGTAGGAACCCCAGCAAGATCCTACAGTTTGGTCCCACTTCACAGGGATCCCTCCACATGTGGATTGACATCTTCCCCCATAATGTGCCTGCGCCACCCCCAGTTGACATCAAGCCTCGGCAGCCAGTCAGGTGAGAGTCCTGGCCCCGCTTCCCATGGGGTGGGCACATCTTGGACTACCTGCAAAAGGGCTTTCCAAACACCTGAGCCCGCGGTGAAGCAGGCAGAGGTTGTTGACACAGGCTTTTCAATTAGGTGAGCCATTAGATCCTTCCCCCCTTTAAAATAGATTTTTATTGATTTCAGAGGGAGAAAGAGAGAAACATCAATGATGAGAGAGAATCGATTGGCTTCCCCACATGGGCCTGTGCCCTGACAGGGAAGCAAACTGTGACCTCCTGGTTCATAGGTCAACACTCAACCACTGAGCCATGCTGGCAGGGCCTCCCCACCCCTTTTTACTCAGCTGCTGTGGGTTGTGTGTCCGTCACTTCCAATACCAATAAGCCCTCTTCTGCCCTGAGCTATAGGGGAGAGTGTTGTGTGGTGTGTATGCACTTAAGATATTGCCAGTCATCTGTCACTTTGCACCTTTGGGCTCTGCTTTCCCTGGTGCCACTCTCAGGGAGACTTTCACAGTCTGAGGGCAAGGAGGCTCCTAATGGTGCCAGGTTTACATCTGACCAACTAAACTACGTGAGCAGAAAAATACACACCTCGTTTCCAACTGGAGCACAAGTCTCAGGGTGACTCCCATTGGGCCAGCTTGATTCAAACGCTGATCTCTGAACCACTCAGTGTGGTCATGGGACTGTAATTGAGGTGAGGTACCCCTTCTGGGCCAGGTGGGGGGGGGGTCTGTCTATCCTAACAGAATCACACAGATTAACAGTAGTGGAGGGGGGGGCTGTCACCAGCAGAAAATCAGGGTGCTGTCAATAAATGAGGGGAAATTGCTGAAACCGATTTGGTTCAGTGGGTAGAGCGTCAGCCTGTGGACTGAAAGGTCCCAGGTTTGATTCCCGTCAAGGCATGTACCTTGGTTGCATGTACATCCCCAGTAGGGGGTGTGCAAGAGGCAGCTGATCGATTATTCTCTCTCATCGATGTTTCTGACTCTCTGTCCCTCTCTCTTCCTCTCTGTAAAAAAAATCAATAAAATACATTTAAAAAATAAACAAATGAGGGAAATTGATATTGGGCAAGAGAAGAGATACCTAGGACACCCCATGACCGCCAAGGCCAGGGCTATTGGGGTAGGAACGAGAATGCTGCAGCCCGTCCTTTTGTCCCCCAGGGGCTGTATGCTGCCATCGCCCTTCTATCTCTTCTCCCTCTTCTCTGTGCAGTCTGGCTTTCTCTGCTCAGAGCCCCCCTTTTACACCCCAAAACCTCAGGCTGCATGTCACTTTGGCTTACTGTGGTTCCAACCCCGCCTGTGACGCTACATGACTCAGCTTTTCAGGATTTAATCCCAAACTTATGGGAGGGAGAACCTTGCTGGTTCAGTTGGGTCAGCAAACCATGCTGGGTGTCATCTGCTATAGCTAGGCTGGTCAGTGATCCTTTCCCTTCATGGGCCCACACACAGCCCGATCACCCAGCTGGCCCACACTGGTGCTCAGTGAATGTCAGTGACCCTGGCCCAGGTCCTTCCTGCTTCCTGAAGCCCTTCCCAGGACCCTCTCAAGAATCTGAATCACCCCTCTTCCCCTCTTCCCTCCCTCCTCTCCGGCCCAACACCCCCTAGTTATGAGCTCAGAGTCATCATCTGGAACACGGAGGATGTGGTTCTGGATGACGTGAACCCACTCACTGGAGAGATGTCCAGTGACATCTATGTGAAAAGGTAGGCCTGCCTGCTGGGCCGCACAAACACCTGCGTCCTCAGGTGAGATTGCCAGCTGGGGCGTGGACCCTGGGGCTGGGCCGGGCCCTGGGGCTGAGCCCTCTAACATGCCTGGAGCTGGGGGGAGGGCCTGGCATGGTGGGTGAGCAGGGACAGGCTGGGTTCTGGGCTTGGTCCCAGCTGATGGCCTCAGACGGCCCCTCGCCTCCCCTGGGCTCCAGCTGGGTGAAGGGGCTGGAGCAGGACAAGCAGGAGACAGACGTGCACTTCAACTCTCTGCCGGGGGAGGGCAACTTCAACTGGCGCTTCATGTTCCGCTTTGACTACCTGCCCACGGAGCGGGAGGTGAGCGTCTGGCGCCGGCCGGACCCTTCGCCCTGGAGGAGGCCGAGTTCCCGCAGCCCGCCGCGCTGGTCCTGCAGGTCTGGGACTACGACCGCATCTCCGCCAACGACTTCCTGGGTACTGCGGGGTCTCCTCCACCTTAGCCAGCCCTGATCCTGCCCTCCTTGCCCCGGTTCCCTGTTCTAACCCAGCCCGGATCCTGGGTTTCAGGCCTTCGGTCACTAACTTTGCTCTCGGGCCTAGTTAGCAAGTTTATTCAGCCCCATGCATCACACCCTCCATTCCTTCCCAAAGTCGCTGACTCAGTCCTCGGGTTGGACTCCCACTCCATGGCCTGGGTGCTGACTCAGCATCTGCTCCCGCCCGTGGACCTGTTTCCGTGGGGGCTGTGGTGTGTGGTCCATCGCCATGCCTGACCACCACATGCTAACTTCTGAAGCCCTGGCTTACAACCCCGCTGTGCTGCCTCCTGCCCCTCCCTGGCCCAGAGAGACCAGAGTCTAACCCAGGGAGCTCTGGCCTTGCAGGGTCGCTGGAGCTGCAGCTGCCGGACATGGTGCGGGGCGCCCGGGGCCCGGAGCTGTGCTCTGCGCGGCTGGCCCGCCGAGGGGCCGGGCCCGGTGCAGTCTGTTCCGCTGCCGCCGCGTGCGGGGCTGGTGGCCGGTGGTGAAGCTCCGGGAGCCGGAGGGTGAGCAGCGGGA